CAACTATGAGTCGGCCGAGAAGAACCTGGACTTTGTCAGGGAGCACTTCGAAGCAGAAGTGCGGGAAGGCTTGATGGTCCGGATGGGGGAGGCCGAGTTTTGGGCTACGTATGGAGAGGAGGCGGCGATCTCTGCCATCGCAGTGCTCACTGAAGAGGGCCCGCCGCTAAAGCAGCGTATAGTACATGATGCATCGCATGACGTGTTGCTGAACCACAGGATCCGCTGTCTTGACAAAGTCAGATCTCCCGGAGCCCGGGAGAAGAGATGCCTGCTGCGCCGCCTCAAGGAGAAGCGGATGGCTCCGATGGCGGTCACCGGCGACATCGCGAAGGCACACAGGAGATACCGGCACCGTCGGGATGAGTGGGGGTACTTGGGCTGCAAAGCTTCCTCCGGGGACACCATCGTCTACTTGAACCGTGGGCACATTCGGCCTCGCTTGCGCGGGCTATTGGTGGGCGAGACTCTCTGGAGGTTCGATCAGGCTCATCCATCACTTGACTGGAAGGCGAGCCCTGGAGATCCTTTTGTACGCCGACGACGTGGAGATGATCGGGGGCGACAAGGCGGGAAGAAGGGGCATTGTCCTCTCATACGCCCTCCTGGCTGCATTGGGCTTCCCTTTCAAGTGGTCGAAGACAAAAGGGGACTGACGGTCAAATGGGTGGGCTATGAGACATCCTCAGCTCTTTCCGGCTGGGAATCTCGTTGCAACGGGCGACCTGGCTCGCTGACTGGACTTTGCGCATCTCTCGAGAGGGCAGCGTGACTTGGGATGATTTTGCATGCGGCCTGGGCAGACTGGGATTTGGAGCGAACGCCCTCTCCTGGGAGAGACCGTTCCTCGGTCCTCTTTACTCCTGGTCGGCAGCCACGCGGGGGAGCAGAGGGCTTCTCAAGATCCCGGTCATGTTAAGGACAATTCTCCATTGGATGTCGGGGAGGTTCCGGGGAGAGGACCGGCTCCAGGAACCGCCTCCGGAGCGGCTCCAAAAGGGGATGAACAAGTTCAGCTTCTACTCGGACGCCAAGGCCGAGGAGGACCGCGCATGGATCGGCGGCTACCTGTGGGACGGGGAATCGGCACTGCAGTGGTTCGCTCTGGAGGTCCTTGAATCCTGGGCACCGTGGGCCTACGTGAAGGGGGACCTGAAGCGCACCATTGCGAGTCTGGAACTCTTGGGCACTCTCATCTGCGTCAAACTTTGGGGCGCCAAGATGAAGGGCAGTGGTGGGGGATGCGGCCACATCACCGGTGGCACGGACAATCAAGGGAACTCCTATGCAGTATCCAAACTGATGTCAACACGGTATCCTCTGCCCTTGCTGCTGATGGAGCTCTCGGAGACGCTACGGCTACGGGGGATGAACCTCTCTCTTGACTTGTCATGGGTTCCTAGGGAATCTAACGTGTGGGCGGACGATCTCACCAATCTTCGATTCGATCGCTTTGATCCCTCAAAGAGGTTGGAGATTCTGGGCGACCAGATTGATTGGATCATTCTGGGAGACCTCTTGAAGTCGGCAAATGGTTTTCATGGTGAGCTTGTTGCAGCGAAGGCTGCGGCGCACAACAAGAGGCATCCGGTGGCGAAGGCCACCAGTCGGAAGAAGCCTCGCACGAGGTGGTGAGTTTCGGATACATTCGGCTTCGGCGGTGCTCGGGTGCTGGGCACATCTCGATGCATCTTGATGCAAGGGTGGACCGTTTTCGCTTAAAGCGCTACGGTCATAGATGTGCTCTTCGCCGAATGGGAACTCCGATCCATCCTTCGGGAAAAATGAGAGATGTCCGACTTTGCGTAACAGCGGCTAGCATGTTCACATTCATGTCATTCCGTTGAGTGCTGCTGCATCAATTCCATATGAAAGATATTGGACTCCGGATTTTATATATCTTGTTTTTCCGCCTCTGGGCTTTTGAAATATCTGCTCCTGCCACAGTACCTGGTGGTGCTTAGGGGGTGGCTGGTGGGTTGTGGGTTTGACTCGCACGCACGCGTTCGCGACTTGTTGCGTCAGTGTGTGTGCCCTTCAAACCCACGTGTTCTCGGTACATTTGATGTACCGTCGCTTCGGGAAAAGAAAACAAGGTTTTTGTTTTCCCATGATTTTGAATTAATCTCTTTGTACCTTTGAGAGCATCATTTTACTTTGGGCTGATGCATCATGACAATCATGATTTGCACTTGTAGCCGCAAGGGTCAAGTGGTGAGTTCTGAAGCTCCCACCCTCCCAACCCTGGTGCTGGGCACATCTCGATGCATCTTGATGCAAGGGTGGACCGTTTTCGCTTAAAGCGCTACGGTCATAGATGTGCTCTTCGCCGAATGGGAACTCCGATCCATCCTTCGGGAAAAATGAGAGATGTCCGACTTTGCGTAACAGCGGCTAGCATGTTCACATTCATGTCATTCCGTTGAGTGCTGCTGCATCAATTCCATATGAAAGATATTGGACTCCGGATTTTATATATCTTGTTTTTCCGCCTCTGGGCTTTTGAAATATCTGCTCCTGCCACAGTACCTGGTGGTGCTTAGGGGGTGGCTGGTGGGTTGTGGGTTTGACTCGCACGCACTAGAACGGCAACCGGAGCCTGGACTTGGCTCCACCTGTTGTTTTGGGCAGCTCTGAGCGACGGCTCTTTGTTGCTCCTGACCGGTCGCTGAGGCTCCGTAGTTTGTGCTGAACGGCTAACACCGGCAAAGCCTGTGCGCCGCAGCCCTTTGTAGAGCTTCGCTTTGCTGTTTCACCGCTTTGTTGTAGTTTGATGCTTGGATTTTAGTTTCGCTTGTTTGTAGGGACCGAGTGCTACAGCCGTAGTCGACGAGGCCCAGTCAAGCCAAAAAAAAATCAAAGGGGGACGGGCCCATAGAGCCAAGCTGAATGCAAGTTTCCACAAACGAAGCAATATCTTGCACAGAGAGGATGATTGTTGCCAAGATGTTTTGGAACTCCAAGTTTGGAAACATCATGTTTCCAACTCTTTGAGCTCAAAGTTTTGCACAGTGTTCAGCTTCTGATCGAACAAGTAGTCTCGAAACAGAAGCAGATCAAAACCAAGGCGGCAGCCACATTGAGAAGTAACTACAGTGGTTCTAGTCACCATAAAGTGTGCGGTATTTTAAACGAAGCGGGGTGGTGGATTTACTGCTCAGTGCCGCTTTGAAATCACTTGAACGAGTGTCGAAACATCCACTTTTACACGTGGCTGCAAGCAGCACTTAACCGCGTCAGAGAGTGTTTTGCTTAGGCGAGGTTTGACCCATATGATTCTTTTTTCTGAACGAATTTTGCCGTATTTTCGTGGTTGTGTGGCACCTGAGAACACATGACAAAAGCAAGCTCCAGAGTGTGCACCACCGAACAACTGTTCCCGCAAAGGCCGGACCTCCAGCAAAGTACTCCGCCTCGCGAGGTTTCCGTGCAGCAACGCCTCGCAGAGAGCCTAGCTTGCGCCGCCCCGCTTGACAAGATCTTAAAGACGATTGGGAGTGGCTGGCACCGCGAACCCCGTCCAGCAACGCAAGGAGTGCCTCATCGTCATCAATTGCAGAACTGCTGCTTTTATCTTCGGCAATCTGCAAGACAGAAAAATGCGCCAAAACAGTTAGAGTCGGGCCGAAACCTGAAGCGCTGGGTTGCGGAACACTGCAAAAACCCATACCACTTTATGTTTTCAGTGGTGCTGCATCTCACCCCCACTTCATTTCCAGGCACACGGTTTGTTGGTCGAAGGGCTTTGCGTTTTTTCTTCTCTTTCTCGTTGAATCTAGAAAGCCATGCAGAGACACGGGCTTATTCGTGCAGGGCACCTGCAAGAGGCACAGGTGGGGCAAAGAAGTGTCTCCTACTGTGCCAAGCATGCCGAGAATTACCCGTTTGGAAACGCCTTTTGAGCACTGGCGCCACAATGCTGCGTCCACGGCGTTGTTTGAGGTGGCTGACCTGCAGTGTTTATGCTAGTCCGCTCTTTAAGAGTGATCTAGTCAGCTGGCTTGGAAGAATTGATGCCATGGTGGCTATCTGCGTTTGCCGGAAGGTTACATGGTTTCAGCAATGGGCCATGGAAGGATTTTTCCTTTGCGGGATTGGATTTGAGCAATGATGCCCAAGCATACATCGCTTCCTTTGAGACCTTGGCACAAATCGCTCTTCTTCATTGTGCCTCTGCTGTGGTTCCTTTTGGGAGGCTTCGTATCCGCATAAGAGCTAGAGTGACAATGCTGGCGCTGAGAGTGTGTCCAACAAATTGTACACCAAGAAGTTTCCTTTGTGCATTTTCGCCCAGCGCCTGGCTTAATTCAGTGCTTATTCGTCGATGACATTGGATGTCTCGCACATCCCTGGTGAATACAGCGAGGATGCAGATATGCTTTCTCGTATCACCAATTTCTCGGAACTGCCTGAGAGATTTCCTTTGTCTCGTCGCCTGGTTTTGAGCTTGCAGCAGCTTTGGTTCCAGCGATCTGCGATTTCGTTGGTTCCTCATGATTATGGGCTGCCTTGGAGCCTGCTGATTTCATCGCTGAGCCGTGAATGGCTTGAGAGAGCATGCTCGCCAGCGACACATGAGGCTTGCCTCTATCAGCTTTATTTTCCTAGGAGAGTTTTGAAAATTCTTGCGAAGTTTTCAAAACGTCTTTGCTTTATTTTCGAACCACATATCATGGCATGAAAGCATGCTTTGAATCGTCCGAGTTTATATCTTTAATTTCCCGCGCCGCCTCGAGACAGGGGTGGGATGGGTGGGTAGCTACTCCCTGGCCAAAGGGCCAGAAATTTTTGTTAGTGGGGTGTAGCGTGTGCCATGCTGGCTTGACAAGGCCGAGACTGCAGCCAGCATGTCAGGAGACGACTCTCTTGAAAGAAGCCTCAAGAAGGCTCGTGTGCTTGGGGCTTATGAGAGTCACCATGTGTCGTCTACACGTGTTGCATCCCGAGGGCTTGGAAGCACAGTTAGGATGCCGTGGGAAATAGCTTCTACATTTCTTGACATGCCTGCCTTGCCCTCGCCTTTCGCCAAAGGGGGATGCATCGTGTCAAGGCCAGTAGGGCCGGCCGGTCCTACAAGGCCGGTGAAGTCGTCTTCGGGAAAGCTTGAGTCACTCAGGCTTGCAGGAGTGAAGGTTCCGAGTGTGCCGGGACAAAGCTGGGATCAGAAACTCTCCGAGGCGAGGGAAGCAGCTTTGGCAAAGTGGCTAGGGATTCTTGAAAGGTTCCCTGACGATTTTGGTCTTTCTCTGTCGATTCGGTTAGATAAGGAGAACGGGCGAGACTCTGACTTGAAGTCTTCCTTGCAAGATGTGTTTTCTCAGAAGGCGAGCGTCACGATCTCGGGTCGTGCTGGGCCTCTTGCCAGGTACATCAAGCACTGCCGAAGTTGCCAGGTCATGCCTTTCCCTGTCACTGAAGCAGGGATCTATGCTTTCCTACAGGATTATGCATCTCACGAGGCGCCCACTTTCGCCAGGAGTTTCTTGAGCAGCCTCGCTTTTGCAAAGTTCACTGTAAGCTTGAAGGTGAGTGATGAAGTCTTCAGCCCCAGGGTCCGTGGACTGTCGTCGAAGCTGTATCTTGAAAAGAGGAAGACTCGGCAAAAGCCGTCGCTCAAAGTTGATCATGTGCGCAAGTTGGAGGCCATCGCTTCCGGCTCAATCGTGCTCGAACCTTCAGACCGGGTCGCTGCTGGCTTCTTCGTGTGGACCTTGTATGCACGAGCGAGGTACTCGGATGCCCAAGCTGCGGGTGCAATGACTTGCGACTTAAGCGATACGCCAGACGGCACAGTTGGATACCTGGAGTCCGCTGTTGAGCGAAGCAAGACTTCGTTCGTTCTCACTGGAAAGAAAGGTCAGGTATTTGCACATGTTTGCTCCCATCCAAGGAATAGGCGAGGTGCCCTGGGGTGTCAAGTGGTTTGAGTTCTATAAGGAGCATGGGCCTCCTTTGGGGTCGGGTAAGCCCTTGCTTCCGAGCCCGCTCTCTGGCGGAGGGTGGCAAACGTCGCCGTTGGCGGTGGCGAGTGCCACGAAATGGATGAAGTCACTGTTGATCCGTGCAGGTTGCGACAGGTCTTCCGTTGAACCGCTTGGGACGCATATAGTCTCAAGGCAACGACCTTGAGTTGGAGCGCCAAATTCGGACTACCCCGCGAGGTGAGAGCGGCCCTAGGCTATCACGCCAGGGGCCGTGATGGAACCGAGCTCATCTATGGGAGAGACAACATGTCTGCTCCTGTGCGCCAGCTGCAAGGGGTTCTGCTCGAAGTGTCGCGCGAAAGGTTCATGCCGGACGCCACCAGGTCCGGTTACTTCGTGAAGCGCTTTGAAGATCCGGAGGGGATGCCCATTCCTCCTGACGAGGTTCTGTCGGATTCTTCTTCCGAGGCCAGCGAGGATGCCGAGGATGTCGATCATGTAGCTGCGGAGGCGGCCACCGACGAGTTGGGAAGGCAATGGGAGCCCGATGCAGGCTTGCGTGCCGAGCTTGAAGCAGTCCCTTTGTTCAGGAACAGGGATAGCCGTTTCACTCATGCTGTCGCGTCCGAAGAAGGCGACACGTTCAGATGTGGGAGAAACATCTCGACCAGGTATGAAAGGTTGTCCTCCGTCCCTCGAATTTTGTTTCCGCTGTGTAGGAGCTGTTGCCCACCTAAGAATTGATGCTGAGGAGTGCAGTGAAAAGGAGCTTCTGAGTTTCCGGGGCGTTGCGCGCTTAGGCTGAGTGCTTCCAGGAGTGTGTGCGATTTGTAGTTTTCGAGTGACATGCATCAGTCAGAAGCAAGCATCGCGTTCATGAGGAGTCGGCTCAGTCTTAGGAAGTCTGTGCTTAAACCTGGTAAGTCAGAGTCCAGGCCACGAGGTGCGGATTCGGGAGTGCTCTGAGAACTTTCAGCATTGATTTGTAGGAGTATTACTAGCCCGGTTCCTGCTCTTGAAGATGGCGAACTACTCTGAGAGTCAATCGGTTCTGCAGTCACGATTGAGTGTCGTGGGTTTCGCGGAAGCTGACGTTCAGAAAATTCTGCCAGAGGTGGGAAACTTGAGGAGGCTGGCTTTCATTTCTTCTTTCACACCTGGTCAGACTGACGAGGAGCCGTTGATGCAGGTGTTAAAAGACATCTTGAAGCGAGACCTGACAATTGCAGACAAGGCGAATTGGCGTGCGGTTTACAATGAGGCTTTTGCCATTGTGACCGCGGAAATGAAGCAGAGGATTGAGAAGGCCGACCCAGAGTCGACCGTCAGGCCTTTGTCTCAGCCTGAGAGGTCGGAGCGGTACGAGCGGCAGGCCAAGAAGCTTGTCGGGATATCACTTAAAGGGCCTCTGGAGCCTGCCGATGCACTTGTTGATCTTTCTGTGGCTTCCTATGAGGCAAATGAGCTGAGGTACATTCCGTGGGACCGGTGTGTGTCTAAGGAAGCTGAATTGGCTGGCGAGAAGAAACGTGATGTCAGGTTCACTGTTGAGGAGTCTTCGGGCAAGCTTCGGATCGAGCATAAACAGCCTGATCTGGTTGCGGATACCTCTTCAGAGATTCTTGTTCAGCAGGCTCTCACCAGGAGAGCTTTGGCCATGGATCAGGCGAACCTGATCGAGTTCAGTGTTGCTGATCAATGGACTCAACGCTTGATGAAGGCTCGCATGCAATCGCCTGCGGAGCATTTTGCCAGGCCCACTTGGAAGCAGCTTGAGTCGGCGGACCGGCAGCTGTTTGCCGAGCTACGTGACAAGACCAGGGCAGGTGTGCAGACTGTCGCATCGGGTCGCCCGTTGGACTCACTCCTGCCCGATGCGATGTACATGAACGAGGTGTCATGCCTATTGCAGCCTTTTCCGGCCCCTTCCATGAAGGACGCTCCCCAGAAGCCGGATGCTCCCAAGTGGGAGAGGCCTTCTCCTTACACCAAAGGTGGGGGCAAAGGAAAGAAAGGTAAGCAGAGGTTCATGACAAGGTTGCCCGCCGGCTTGGAAGGCTGCAGGTCCCACACTAATCGTGGGGACCCAATCTGCTTTGCCTTCAACCTGGGTGGCTGCTCGACGAAGGGGCAGAAGTGCGAGAAAGGCTTGCACATCTGTGCAGTGCCTAAGTGCGGTGCTCATAACCATGGTGCAGCGCAGTGCCCAAAGCGGGCGCAGGGGGGCTCGTGACTATCGGGTCTCGAGGGTGCCTCGCTGATGGCCGGTGCTCCAGAGAGTGTGCATCAGCCGGCAGCGGAGGCCTCGCACGATAATGATCTCCGAGAGGGAGTTCATCGGCCGAAAGATGCATGCACGGGTGGCTGTCCAACGAAAGGTGTGGATTGTCGCCCAACTCCGAGTGTTGATCGAGAGGATCATCACGAGCACAACGTTGGCTCGTACAGTGCCATCGCTAGGCCCTCGCCGAGTGTGGTGGAGGCCGCACGCAGCAGGTCCCCGAAGCACCGTGATGGGGCGGGGCCACAGAGCGGCAAAGAGAGTTCTTCACTTGACGAGGGTCATGTGAGTGCCGCTGATGTCCTTCGAGTTTTCGATGGTCTTCCTTCAGATGACTTGAAGAGGGGTGCCAGTGCGCCTCTCCCAACTTCAAAGTCTTATGCCACAGGAGCGTATGTTCTTGGGGGCAATGTGGGTTTGAAGGCTAATGCCTCAACTAGCCCAGAAGCGCTCGACATCTTTGCAAGGTTTGTGAGGCAGAGCGTTCCGGGGTTCAAATTTTCTTCAATAAATATATTCGAGGATGTTCGCGCTGAGCGTCACCGCGATCAGTGGAATGCAAATTTGCATAACCTGGCGATTGCCATAACAGAATGTTCAGGTGGTGCCATCTTTGTAGAGCACGAAGATGGCCGGGATGTTTCGTCCCTCAATGGTGCCCAGGGTTCTCGCCTGGCTGTTGCAGAGGGCCCCGTGCGATTCAATGCAAGGCATTATTGGCACTACACTGAGGCTTGGCAAGGCCGGAGGGTCGTGCTGATAGCATACACAATCCGCCATGTTGAATCGCTGAGCAAGGAACATCTTGATTTTCTCCGGAGGTGCAATGTTGATGTTCCGACATGCGCGCCTGAGAGCGCGCGTTTGGCGCCTGCCCAGGTGTGTGGTCGTCAGCGGCCTTCCTCACCCTCCAATGGAGCTGAGGTGTCGCTTAGGCCTTTGCCCGCTTCGGTTATGCCCACCGTTAGCCCTAAGGAACCTAATAGCGGCCCTGGTAGTCCTTTAAAGCCTGGTTCTGCTCTCTATGTTGAAATAAAGTGTGGTTCCGGTTTGCTAGCTGCTCGTGTGCGGCGAGATGGATTCCAAGTCATGGCGCTTGAACACTCGCGCCCTGCTGGGCGCGTGCACATCCACCTGGTCCCGGTGGACATCGAAACTGAATCGGGTTTCTCCTTTGCGCAGACTGTCATTGGCCAAGACGCCCCTTTTCATGTGCATTTCTTCCCGGCGACTAAGGATTGTTTTAAGGCCTCTTTCAACGCAGTGCAAACCCTCCGCCTCGCCAAGCTCTTGCTCGCGTCTGACTTGCATTGGAGTATCTTGCATCCCCTGGCGTCGGCCCTGTGGGGCCAGCTGGACTTGCCCGATGCGGTGCACTGCCTCGAATTTTGTGCCGGCTGCTACGGGGCTCTCAGCCCGGTAAAGATGCGCATGTGTACAACCCAGCCCGCGCTGGCAGGCATGCCCATACCAGTGTGCCGCTGTCGCCAAATGCCCCATGTTGCGGGCTCGCTTGCGCCAGATTCCTTGTACACACCGAAATTCTGTGATGTTTTCGCTGGCCTCTTGCAGCTGTCGGTAGGCCATGCCGGCCTCTTACTTGAACACGCTGTTCCGCTGCAATGCTCGCGTCATTCTGCAGCCGCTGCCGCGGGGCGACAGCCTCGATTGTCAAAATTCCAGCCACAGATCGCCGAATTTAAGTGCCAAGCCACGGTCCGTGAATTCCCGTGGCCTCTTCCATTGGATGATAAAGGTAATCTTAAATGTGCCATAGGGTCAATCCCTCCTGGCTCCCGCCTTCTTCGCATTGTGTGTGATCGGGGGGTTGTCGGTGCGAAGCAGGTCGGAAGCCTGTCAGGTGTGCCTTCGTCAGTTACTTTTGGCATCTACCGCACAGAACATGAGTTTGTGGCGCAGGCTTTGCATATCGATCATCCCTTCGACTTGTGCGTGGCAGTCCCGGACTTCATGCTGAGAGCCTTGGCTTTTACCTTGAAAGAGGGTCCGGTTGGCGTGATGAAACACCGTCTGAATCTGCTCCAGCAGTGGACTTCTTGGAAGCGTGAGCTGTCAAGTGCCGAAGCCGAGCTTCATGCTGCCATGGATCCTGGTGTGGCATCTGTGATGAAAGGCAAGAATATTTTGCTTCTGGAAAAGATCGCATCAACTTTCGGTTGGCCTGACACGGAAGTGTTTGAACACCTTAAGCATGGTTTTCCTTTGGTCGGGGAGTCGAGCCCTTCCGGCATTTTCGATGTAGATAGAAAGCCGGCTCTGATGACGCGTGCAGAGCTTGTGCAGCATGCCAAGTTTCTTAAGCCGGCGCTGTGGGCGAAGGTGGCGAGCGCAGAGGTGGATGATCTGGCTCGGGAGGTGTGGGATTCCACACAACAAGAGATGCTAGTCAAGGAGTGGCTGACGGGGCCTTACTCGTGGGACGAGCTGCAAGCCCGTCACCCCGAAGGATGGCTTCCAGTGCGGAGGTTCGGCATTGTGCAAAAGGCCAAGATGCGATCGATCGATGACTTGGCCGAGAACTCGGTCAACCGCGCTTATGCTGTCTCCGACCGGATTGCTCTGAGAGCCCTTGATGAATTGGTGTGGCTTGCGATCACCCTTTTCAAGATCTTCATGGCGAAAGGCGAGGTGAGCATTCCTTTGTCGGACGGTGAACATCTTCGCTTTCCTGTGCATTCCTTCTGGAGAGCCCTGAAGCCCGAGGCGCTTCAACCGAGCTTGAAAACAGTGGATTTGAAAAGTGCTTATAAACAGTTGGCGGTCTCGCCACGAGATCGTTGTCTGAGCATAGTGACCATCAAGGACCCGGTTTCGGGCCTTCCCTTCGGCTTCGAGAGCCGAACTCTTTTGTTTGGAGCCACCTCGTCGGTGGTTTCGTTCAACCGCGTTGCAAGATTGATCCAGAGGGTTCTGATCACGTTGCAGGTGCTGGCTTGCAACTACTTTGATGATTGCCCAGTGTTGGAGGTCTTGCCACTCTGCAACAACACGCAGTCGACCATCAAAGCTGCTTTGGATCTGCTGGGCTTCTCATGGGCAGAGGATAAGGACCTTCCTTTCAGCCATGAAGCCGAGCTACAGGGCGTTAGGGTTGACCTAGGCACTTTCGGGGTCGTTAAGATTGGGAACAAGCCTGATCGTGCTGCTTCCATTGCCGCCGCGATGGACTCCGTCTTGAGCGAGGGCCGTCTTGATCCGAAGACTCTGCCTTTTTTGTTCGGTCGCATCCAGTTTGCTGAAGGTCAGTTGCACGGGCGGCTGGGAAGATTAGCCCTGGCCGACCTCAGAGCGTGCACGATGAGCTCTCAGGCTCAGGCCCTCGATGCCACAGCTGTGCAGGCCCTTCGCCATCTTAGGACCCGGGTTCTTGGGGGTACCCCTAGGATAGTCCCGGCCTGTGTGGGGTCTCGCCGTTCTGTGATTTTCACTGATGGCGCTTACGAGCCGACGAATGGTTCTTACCCTGCTACTGTCGGAGGAGTCTTGTACCATTACGACAACGGAGCGTGGTGCACTTCCTACTTTGCATGTGCTATCCCTTTGAGCGTTGTACAGAGCTGGGAGGCTCTCGGGAAAAGGCATTTGATAGGCCCAGTTGAGATGTACGCAGTTGTATGTGCGAGAGAAGCCTGGTCGAAGCACTTGAACATGCAAAGGGTGACCATGTATGTGGATCACTCCGGAGTGTTGGCCTCCTTGGTGAAAGGCTCTTCTAAAGACCCTTTATGGAGGCAGCTCTTGCTGATCTTTGAGAGTTGCGACGCTGAGGCGATGCTCCCTTGGTTTAGCCGCGTTCCAAGTGCAAGCAATCCGGCCGATCCTCCTTCACGTGCCAAGGCGATCTTTCCAGTCAGGGGGCAAGTGTGCAGAGTGTCGCCTCGATGCCCGATCAATGGCAATGCCACGATTGATCTCCTTCTTAAGTGAATGGGGTGTTCGTTGGCGATCCTCGTGTTCGCCATCGATCGGTGCGGGGATGTCACGACTTCCCCCTTCGGCTTTGCCGGAAGGAAAAAGCGACTTCTGCCTGAGCAATTTTCTTATTCTTTATATATACTTTGATTTCCCATATAGCTTGGGAATACTGTGAGTGGAATCGTCTATTGAAATAAAGCAAAGCTCCTTGGGAAATAAGCGACACATGAGGCTTGCCTCTATCAGCTTTATTTTCCTAGGAGAGTTTTGAAAATTCTTGCGAAGTTTTCAAAACGTCTTTGCTTTATTTTCGAACCACATATCATGGCATGAAAGCATGCTTTGAATCGTCCGAGTTTATATCTTTAATTTCCCGCGCCGCCTCGAGACAGGGGTGGGATGGGTGGGTAGCTACTCCCTGGCCAAAGGGCCAGAAATTTTTGTCCCTCCCTCCACTCCCGGGGTGTTCGTTGGCGATCCTCGTGTTCGCCATCGATCGGTGCGGGGATGTCACGACTTCCCCCTTCGGCTTTGCCGGAAGGAAAAAGCGACTTCTGCCTGAGCAATTTTCTTATTCTTTATATATACTTTGATTTCCCATATAGCTTGGGAATACTGTGAGTGGAATCGTCTATTGAAATAAAGCAAAGCTCCTTGGGAAATAAAACCTCATTATGTTTCTGGGATTCGTTTCACTGCAGCGAGGTTTGTTTTGAGCCTGGCAGAGTTATAACGGGTTGTTCGTAAAGCTTCGATGCTTTGCTGACAGACCAGACAGACAGCTTGCACACACTCGCTTTTGCTTCGACCAGTCTCAAAACAACCTCCGAAGATGTAGCTCAGCTTTGCTTTGCTTGCTGTAGGCTTTAGCTAAACCAAAGGGCTTGGCTGTTGTAACTAAGTAGAACGGTTCGTGTGTTCACTCACAGTTGTTTTACTTTGTTTCAATTGACATGCCTCCGTGCATGGCTCAAACAACAGCCAAGCCGCAGCATCGCATGCATGCTTCGCTTCAGCATTGCATTTCGTTTTCACCCACCCTCCGCTCCCTGTGATGCTTTCACATATTGCTTTACATGTCTTATGTTATCATATCGCTTTTTGTTTCGATATTATGCTTTGTGTTGCTTCATACTCAGTGTATGCGAGGCCGGAGAGGGTTGTTCGAAAAGCTTCGATGCTTTGCTGACAGACCAGACAGACAGCTTGCACTCGCTTTTGCTTCCACCAGTCTCAAAACAACCTCCGAAGAGTTGTAGCTCAGTTTTGCTTTGCTTGCTGTAGGCTTTAGCTAAACCAAAGGGCTTGGCTGTTGTAACTAAGTAGAACGACTCCATGCGGATTCCATGGCTTTGGGAATACCCGGAGCACCTCGGCACTACCTCACGAGGCGTTCCGGCCTCAGTCTGGACCTGGACCGAAACTAAGAAGTTCTTCACGCGGGTTCAGGCCTCTTCCGTGGCTTTGACACAATGTTCTTATGGGGCCCCGACAAGGAGACCGACTCGCCTCGCAGGTACTTGGCCCAACCTGGGTTCATTGGGCCTGCAAGGCTGGCCCATCCTGGATCACGAAGGTCACTATCGTGGTCCACTTCCTCGAATTTGTGGTCACGATCATGGAGCTGCTCTTGCCTCTTTGGTTTATCCTGCAGCTTTGTGCCGCGCTTTTGCTAAATTGGCCTGGCATGCTGTGACACCCTTCTCGGCGTCGGGACAGGGGGATTCTTCTTTACGGGCCGGGAAGGATACTTCAGAGAATGCTTTCTCGTCTTCTTCGAGTACTGTTTCTTCCTCCGATCCGGAGGCATTGGCTTCTTCATGGCATGTTCCGACAAAGCAACAGCTCTTGAGACTCCTCGACATGCTGCCCTCTGACAGCCCCCCGAGGGGGGAGCTACAAGAAGGGTCCAAGGCCTTTACAGTGGGTTCTTATGCTGTTGGCGGCGGCCTTCTGGGAGTGCGGAAAGCTACGAGACAATTTCCAGAAGTGACAAAGGCCCTTTGTCGTTTCGTGGACTCTCTTAAGCAACGTTTTCAGTTTATGGCGGTGGCTCTCTTTCGCAATCTCCGCACGCTTCCCCACCGGGACCTAGGAAATCAACAGGGTACCTGCAACCTTGTGGCAGGTCTCTCTGGTTTTGAATGGGGTGGGGTTTGGGTTTCTTCGGATTCAGGGTTGGTTCCTTGTCCTTTCGATGCCTTTTCGGAACTTGGAGATGTGCTTCCCGCAGCCGGCACCTTCGCTGTGTTCGACGCTCGGCGTCTTCATTGCACTATGGATTGGAAAGGTTGCAGAACTGTTCTCGTTGCCTACACTCCGTATCTGGGTGAGAACATGTCTGCTCATGATTTGGATTTTCTGATCTCGCTGGGATTTCGCACATCTACGCAAGTCTCAGCTACGGACCGACCTCCGATTGAGAGGGTCCTGGAGGATAACGATGATGCCCCGGGGGCGAAGGACCTTTGGGGTGATCTTCCTAAGGACAAGTTCGACGACGACGTTGCATTTGAGGGGGAGGCTGGCAGTACTTCGGAAGAAGATGAGGACGGCTGGGCGAAACCTGGCTATGGCGTTGGCAAGCTGGGTTGGGGGCCGCCGCTTAAGACCAAACTCATGGGTCGCTTGAGGTGGTTTGCTGATGGTCACGGGTTGGCGTCGCCGGGCCGCTGGCCACCTGATTGGAGGCCCACGGGAGACGGTGATCGTGACCTCTCGCTTCACAAGGGGCTCATGGATGGTTTGCTCAAGCTGCTGACTGACTCTCTGGATGTGAAGCGGGAAATTTGCAAGCTGGCGACTGTTCGAGCCTCATGCTCCCCCTTTCATCCGGATTTGCTGAAAGCCGGGCGCGACCTCCTCTTTCGTAAGCTGCGTGGTGCTGGGTCTAGCGAGGCATTGGACCACGTTCCGGAGCGGCAACCATTCTACTTGGAGGCCATTGGGGAGCTTCTGAGGTTGGCGGGGGATCCGGACTGGAGGAGATACGCAAAATCATCCTGCTCTTTCTCTTCGGGGGTTCCGCTGGGAGTCGATGCTAGACTCGCAAGGACCCCGGCCCTCTTCTTCAGAAAGGCTAAGCATAGAACTTTCGAAGGGGCCGAGGATCTGCAAAGGGATGAGCTCCGCGCCAATTATCCTTCTGCCCGCGGTCACGAGTGAAGATCGAGGAGCAATTTGCCAAGGAGGTTTCGTTGGGCGCTATGGTGGAGATGTCAGTGGAGTTCGGCGACGCGCTCTCAGTGGCATCTCTGGGGGCCATACCCAAAGCCGATGACTCGGTGAGGGTGGTCCACGATGGGACCCATGGGCAACACGTGAATGATCGCATCAAGGTCCGTGATGCTCAGAGTTCTCCGACCGGGGGGGACTTGGCCACTGTCCTGGAGGAGCTCTTTCTTCTCACTTTCGGGGGATATCAGCCGTGCACACCGGTTGGTCCTTGTGCGAAGGGCCGACTGGGCCAGGCAAGCCTGCCGGGCCCGTAACAAGGATCGCATCTTCTTGAATACTGTTGGGACATTCGGAATGTCCAGTGTGTCGTATTGGTGGCATCAATTGTTTTCTGGCCTCGGGAGACTTCGCCCTGTTTGGGCAGTGAAACGAACCAAACGAATTGTTCCCTGGAGGCCTGGGGGGGGTGGGGGGGATGGCAGGGGCGCGGCGGCTCTTTCAGTTGTACGCCCGGCCACTGCGGCTTCGGACCACAGCCATGTTGTCATGCAGTCTTCAGTTCTGTCAGTTGCACTTATGTTCAGTCATGTCAGACATGTCAGTGCTTGCATGTTTTTCAGTCTCTTTTAGGCATGTCAGTTTGAGTGCATTTTCAGTTGGCCTTTTTCTTTGGCCACGAAACCTTTTCAGTTTTGCCTTTGACTTTTCGAACAATCTCTGGAGAGCTTTTGCGGAATCTGATCTATGCATCCGATACATTGCGGACCAATCGGGAGGGGATCTTAGAAAATTTAGTGACGGGGGGGCGCCTTTCAGGCTTCTTCGCGCAATGGCATTATATGATGGAGGATAGGCTCTGGAATCTTCTTGAAGATACCGGCTGCACTTGCGTGAGGGAGCTGCGTTTGCATTTTGATACTCCTTGGCACCTGGCCTGCTCAGTGGACAGCTTAGAGGACTCAGTGGTCCTGGCCGAGCAGATCCTTCCGTCTGCTGTGTCCTCAGACCATAAGAGAGCTGGCGCGCTTATTTGGGGCTGGCTCCGGGATCAAACTGACTTGTTGAAGCGGGTGCAAGGTAGGCTAAAGACGAAGGCTACGAGGATTGTGGCGCCTCCTTGTGGTGATGTTTCTCCTGGTGAGGTTTATGCACAATTGGTGAGCGGCAGCCTTGAGTTAACGAAGCAGACCAGTCGGGCTCATGCGAGATGGATCTCGAGTGGGGCTGGTACTCCAGCTGATGCTGAGAAGGCTGCTAGAAAGTTCTGGGGTACAGTCTTGGTGCAAATTATGGTGGAGGCTAAGCTTCCCATCGTGGATATTCCAGTTGAAAGTGAGGAGCAAAGGGTTCTGTATGCTTTGAGGGCCTTGGGTACCCGTCGTTCGAAGACTTTGAGGAACCGGGCACGAGCTTGGCGCAAGGCTCGGGACTGGATGCTTTCTGTGAAGTCAGTTGCTTTCCCGCGGCGTCCGAGTGACGTTGTGGACTATCTCCTCTTCTTGGAGCAGGAGGTGGGCACCAAGAGCTGTATTTCGGAGTTTATGAGCGCTCTATCTGTTCTGGAGGATGCAGGGCAGGTTCCTTTGGCCAGCCAGTTGTGCAAGGACAGATTGGTGGTTGCTGCCTCGAAGAGCTCAGAGGCAGAAGTTCATGTGGGGGTCACGAGCAAGAAGCAGGCGGCCCCCTTGTCGGTGGCAATGCTGCTTTCTTTGGAGATCTTTGTGGTATCCAGCGGCAATCCTTTATATGCTAGATGCCTTATGTGGGCCTGTCTGGTGTGTGTTTGGGCTTGCATGCGTGTGTCCGATCTGCAAGGAATCGACGTTTCTAGACTT